TAAATATACTTGTTATTTATTTAAGTTGTTTGCAATGAAAAATCTTTAAAAAAAAAAGACTTACAATAACTTGCAATGCTGCTAAGCTACAGGAGCATTGCATGCTGAATTGTGCCTTGCTCACGTATCAGAGTCAGAGGACACGTCACTCCTGGACCTTGGGAACAGTTGCAATAGAAAACACATATCACTCAATATCATATTAACTTCAGTATTGTTCATGAAAACCAGTTTTTCTACTGAAACAGGCTGCCAGTATATCCTCTTCGTGACTGGGAAAACGAATCACAGTTGTTGTCGTATTTTGTATAGAAATGTGTAAACATACAGTGTAGCAAAACTGCATGAAATACCTAAGAAATATATATTTTTCTAAACACTCCTATTAGTGGTTTCTAAATGCAGAGACTTGTGCAGAGAGTCAATCCTAGCAGAACATAAGAAATTGGTTTTAGCGCATTCCAACATAGCCGCAATAAAGTGGGAACGAAAGCAGCCAAGTATTAACTTTTAAGGGTCCAATGATGAAATTGTTGCTCTCCATTGTGTAGCTTTGTAGCCCTGAGGAAGCTCCTCAGCAAATGGAGGAAGTGGGCTCCTCCCACTTACCACGCCCTTCTCTGGCACCCCACCCAGCCCTCCAGAAACCACCAGAAATAAGCTTACTGCACTTTTAACCTCTTTTTGATCACCTGCTATGATCAGCAGCAACTTCCCCACCTTAAAGAGCGTAGCCAGCACACGCAAGAGCAGCATGTAAACAAAATGTGCCATTGCTAATGACACTGTAGTCTTACACAGAGGTAAAGCTGCCTTAAGACGATGTACATATGTGCAGAGCTGGGATTTGAACACATAATCTCCCCCTTAAGAGGGTTTCGCTCTTGTCAGACTCATCTTTGGAGATGAGCATTTCACCGGTGCGCTGCGGCTAAAAAAAGGCCTGCCATGTTTTCCTGCTTTACTTTTATATAAAGAGACTTGCTCAATCGCTAGTCAGGAGATACTAAGGTAAAGAGATTTCAGTACGATTTGCGATATGCAATGACTTTACAAAACATGTCAGTCTCTTCAACAAATTAATGTTTTGTACTCCTCCACAATAAATATGTTATAACCAAGACAACATGTTTGTCAGCAAAGCATATCAGAAGCATATAGACCGCACTCGCAGTCATTTGAAGAAAGACCAGACAGCTTTGGCTTGGCTGTTGTTCAGCCTTATCTTTGTGACACATGACCCAGGTCAACTCTGATTGGACAAACTGTCCACAGGGAACATCATGTAGAAACCAAAATTTACCACCTGCATATAATACCACCTACATTTATAGCAGCGTATAAAACTAGCAGGATAAGCTGGAATGAGGTCCAAACCCATTACTACAGGAAGTGAAGTGCGAAGACTTCGTCCTCCAAGGTCCGAACATAAAGCTTTATTAGCATTAAATTGTCTATTATAATGTGGCTATAAAAAGATCAGTATAAAAAATTGTTTTATTGCTTTTTAATGTTTTTCACGGGTTGTTGGGATTGAGAAAGGCACTTTTAAACAAGCAAAAGTTTTCACTTTTTTGTGGCTGACGACTCTCTTCGTGACCTGATATTCAGTGCTTGTATTGGATGTGAGGGAGGTCCGAACATAAAGCTTTATTAGCATTAAATTGTCTATTATAATGTGGCTATAAAAAGATCAGTATAAAAAATTGTTTTATTGCTTTTTAATGTTTCACGGGTTGTTGGGATTGAGAAAGGCACTTTTAAACAAGCAAAAGTTTTCACTTTTTTGTGGCTGACGACTCTCTTCGTGACCTGATATTCAGTGCTTGTATTGGATGTGAGGTTTTGAAACAGAGAAACAGGGTGTCGGCTCAGATTCGAAATAGAACCGCAGACCACCGAGGATACAACACACCTTTTTCGATCTCTGATTACGTCCCGCTTTAGTATGGCCCTCTGTGTAAAAACAGGATAAAAGCTGAACACAGGAACTCCGTTTTCCAAGGATGCTGTTGGGAATTGGCCCACACAGTTGTCCAAATGCATTGCCTTTCCTGTAACACACGTTATTACACTGGAACATGAAGATCCCTAAATGATTTTGACTTCTTGGATGACACTCACTGAAACATTCCCATGTATTTTATGCTGTCTCGAAAAGCCCTGCTGGTGTCATGCATACTGTGTAGGATTCTTGCTGCTTTAAACCACTACAACCAACCTTATAATGGACCGATGGCCATTGCTGAAACCCAAGGACAAGGACTCTTTTATGCTGAAATAAAACTGTGCCAAAACACACCAAACTCTATTTAAGGACTACATGCTTCTTAACAATATTCAGACATGAAAATTATCTCCAGAATGTCAAAAAGTTGAGAATATTGCAAGACAAATCCCTATTTTAGTAAAGAAGAAAGACTCGTTTGCTTGATGGTCGTGGTTTAGTGAAGTAGTTTCTTTTGGCTGTACCCTCTTTTGGCATAACCCATTGTTTGTATTTGTTTTTTGTTTTTTTGAAAGAGAGACTTTTCTCATAATGGCAGTGTTTCTCAAAATGTCTTTCTCATGCTGATACTTGAAGGAGCACTGTTTATCTGGCCTACAACATCGTCCTCTTTTCACTGCAAGGGCAGTCTGTGTGAGATTTGTCTGAATAAAGGTTTTTTTAATCTTCCTGCTGATTACGTCCTTTTGGGAATCTATGTGAATACTGTCATCTGTAGGGTATAATATTGCGCTTTGTATGTTAAACAGTTCAGTCAATCACAGATTACCAGAAAAGAACCCAAGAACCTTTCCCAGCCCCGAATCATTAGATGATCTGTGTGTGTTTCTAATCAAACATTAATGGTCTCTTCAGAACCCGAGGAACCATGGGACAGCACATAGGACTAAACAACCTTCAGTGACCTATAAATACATTTGTTTGCCAGAGCCCACAGGAAGAAAATAGCTCTGGGAGATGGTTAATTAGCATATAATCCTCTTGCGGTGTGTTCTTAAGAGCAAAGCCTGAGACGGAGTGATCTTGAAAAATTGCTGCTGAAAAAGAGTTAAATGAGGTGAAAGGACAAGCAAATAAGGCTAACAAATGCTAGCGTTTGTTTACATGTCCATATCAGAGTAATCAATATTGTGACAGTAATTGGGATTATAAAATACCATTTGGACAAGGCTTACTTTTTAAAAATGCAGGACTGTCATTGCATTTGAAAAAGCAAGGGACATTTGAGCTCAAACAATTCAGGAGATTCACTTTTCGGAGACATTTTTGCAATGGTTTTTAATCAACTTTTGTTTTGATGGTTTTTAGTGGATGTTTGAAGTCATTTCTCCTCAAAATCACTCAAGTGTAGTTCATGTTAATTATGAATATTGCAAAATAATTTTTTGTCTTTTTCAAAGCTGTATCTACTTGTTTATCATTTAAAATCTAACAAACTACATGTTGTGAAGAGTGAGCATGTGCTTGTGTCTTTAAATGCTATTTTGCTTCAGTATGTTTAAATGCAATGACATTTATTTTTAAGTGTGACTGAAAGGCACAGTTCACACAAAAAAAATCATAAAATTCTGTTATTATTTACTCATCCTTATGTCGTTCCAAACCTGTATGATTGACTTTGTATGACTGACTTTGGCTTGCTCAATTGGGGTTTAAAAGACAATTAATATCCAGTAATATTATTGATTTAATTGCACTGACACTATCAGGTGAGAACAAAATTTGAACTAAATTGAGCTTAATAATGATCTAAGAGCTAATAATGAACTGAGATAAATAATTATCTTCTGTAGAGCTGCTATATATAACTGATGAATTTTACAACCTTAAAACTTTGATTGTATGTTATTGTCCTGTCTATTAATGTGAAGCTGCTTTGAAACAATCTGTATTGTATAAATTGGACTTGACTTTTTTCGGCAGAACACAAAAGAAGATGTTTTGAAGAATGTTTCAACTGTTTTTGTCCATACAGTGAAAGTCAATGGGGTCCTGAAGTGCAAGTGTCCAAATACTTTTTAAAAGAGTGTTTAAATGAATACATTCATTGGAAATAACATGTTTCAGGTTTTAAAAGCTCAAAGTGATGTCAAAGTGATGGTTTCAACCCTTGACCTTCACACCTAAACCAAAGCCCCTCTGAAGGCTATGGTGATTAAAACTAGTAAAACAATCCAAATACCTTTCCTCTGGCAAATAAATGCAACCTATACACCTCTCCACAACAGATACCTTCATCATATACAATCCCAGTTCGGTTTGCTGCTCACATCTCTGGTTTTTGCTAAAGTGTCAGTCTGTGGTGTCATACCACCCACTTTATGTCAAACACATCTCCATCAAATACAACTTTTGAACCCTATATGCATTCCAGAACATCCAATGACATCACCAAAAACAACTCTGACTTCTGTGTTTTTCTGCAGGCTGCTTGCACTGTCCATTTACACTGACCTGTGATCAGTCTTATGGTTTCTACATATTGGTATGAGAGAGAAGCTGGTTGACAATCAGTGTGAAAAAGAAACCTTGTTCAGAAGTGTGAAGGAAACATATTGCCATGGGACAATTCAACTAATCAAAAGTGAAGGGACAGTGGGTTTTATTAGCACCAGTGTGATTGTTTTAGCAGCCCTGTGCAGAAATAACTATGATGTCTTTTGTACATCGTCATAGTATATTACCATTTGTATGAGGTTTACCAGCGCACAGAGCAAACGAAAGGAGAGCTCAAAGAAACTGGAAGCTTTTCAGTCCAGGTAAGATCAGAGATATTCTCATCCAATTGAATTTCACAAATTTATGCAGTTATATTAAAGCAGGGGACAGAAGGACATAAAATTCCTGCTTATGTTTGTGCAGAAATGTGTTTAAGATGCCGTGAAAATGGGCTGATAGCTGTAACAAATCTTTTTTAGAGTGCACATGATACAAAATGAACTTAAACTCAATTTGACTGTGAAAAATTGGACTTTTCTGCTTTTTTTTTAGGATGGCTCATGCAAAGAGGTTTTCTCAAATTCCCATGTCTAAGGTTTTCTGTTGCAACTTTTTCATGCATGTTTTTTTCTATGAGTATTTGATTGATTGACAGACATGACAGATTCATTTAAAACAGACCTTTGACAAAACTGCTAAATATAGTTGGAAACTAATTATCTCATCATGTGCATTGTCTTACTATCCACTCAGTGCATGCGAGAACTCTGCAAAGAAGAAGATTACACTTTCTTAAACAGTCTTGAGAAGCAGGATGAGAGTCTGGAGGAGAGCACATGTGTGGAGAGTGAATGTCAGGAGAAGCAAGAAGAAAGGGTAAAGTACTTTCTCGTAAACCTCTACAAGTCTGTGTTTATTAATGCATACCGACTTTCATTGCACATCTCAGCTGGTTTCTCTGTTCTGCTAGATCCGCCGTCGACAGGAGCGTGAGAAGCTGGAACGAGAAAAGCAACGTGAGATAGAGGAGCAGCAGAAGGTATGTTGACTAACATCAAAAAGTCACTGCAGGGCTATCACTGCTGTCTGCTGTGATAACACTAATTATATCTGTCTCCACCACAAACAGACTGAGTCTGTCCAGGGACGACAGACCTGCCTCATCAGACTTACATTGTGAGGCTAATTGTGCTTGATTGCATTATGTCTGCATTGTTCCTAACTTTGGCTGCACATGCAGTGACCTCTGTATTGCATGGCCAGATTACGCAGGTAAACATACTAATGCAATAATTTCTGCTTAAATATATTTTTAAAAACAGGACATTGGTAGTCCGGTCCACTTTATTTAGATTTTTAATGGCCAATAACCATCTGATTGACATGTCAAAAGATATCACAGAGTATGCATGTTTACAAAACAAAAATACACAGTCTGTGTGCAAAACAACTTGGCACCAGACTCTAAGAACATTTGTAGAGAAAACACTGGGACAAATCTGTGGAAAATGTCCAGTTTGCATCCAAAACTAATACTGATTATTTCGGGCGGAGACGCAAAGGAGCTTGTCAACATTTACTTTTCATGCTACTAAGTGACTCACATTTAGCTAATCTCGAATTTAAGTTACAAAAACCATAAACAAAGCCTATACTTGCAATTATGTACTGCAAATATTGCTTTTGATGTAGGTACTTTTGAATTAACTCTTATGCTAAACAAATAAATGTAATAAATAAATAAATAAAAACACTGAATATTTTTCCAAAGTCTGAAGCCACAAAACTTGCCAACTTTGGCAAATAAGGTAATTATTTTCCTTAAAATTGTTCATAATATTAACCTACGGACCCTTTATTATGTTCACTTGTACCCCGTATTATTCAGCAGCTTTATCGCTTTGCTGAGGAGCTAATTATCCTCCTTCATCCCCAGCTCCTCCTTTCCTGCACAGTCAGGACTTGGCCTTCTGATATTCCTTGTTAAATCAGACTACTCTATCCTAAATTATGTTGTTACAATAATTTGTCATTAAGACCATTAATGATATCTGCTACATTTATGTTGGTTCTGTTCTGTTTGCCCTAAGGGGGTTATCACTGCTCTCCCTGCTCTAGGCTTCATGGATGAGCAGGGAGTTTTCGCCCAAAACAGAACCATACTGCCAATCCAAACTGTATGCTAAATGTAAAATCATCCTTGACAATAGTGGTCCTGACAGAACTAAGACTTCTGATGCAAGATGTGATGGTTGAAAGCACAGCAACTGTTTAGCTGTTAGTAGGATGCTCAGGGAGTGTGTTTGTGTAAGTTGATGAACCCCCAGCTGCACACGGCTCTGCTGTGTGAGGTCACTGAAGGACAGCCATGTTGTTGTTGTCCACTTGGCTGTTATCATAAATTCAGCAGCTTGAGGAATTCCTGCAACACCTAACTCAGTGCTTGTTTAAGAAGAAACCCCAATGGGATGAAGTTCAAAAAAGTGTAATTGCTCTTCCTTTCTTAGTCAAGTCGCTCGAATAGCCTTGAGCTTTGCCTTTTTGATTCCTAAAGGCTACAAACGGACAGTCCACCACTCTCACTTCCTTCCTCTCCAGCTGCTCGAAGTCTCCCAGCGAGTTTCCAGGTTTGCAGTGCATCAGTCATCTGATTAATGTACAGGAGGGTCAGGGAGAAGTGATTACTCTAGTTTCCCATGTGCATACTATTTGATCCTGTTATCAGTCATAACCTGCATCCCCCAAACCACAGACCTCATCAGATAACCCCATCCTCCGTGTGTTTGTGAGTGTGTTTTACTGGGAGAGAACAGTCTGTGACTGTCTCAATCCTCTGAGGGAAGAGGTGTTACAGTCTGTTTTTTCTCTTATTAGTATGAATAGAAGGAGATGTTTCAACGTCTTCCATATGTCGAATACAGCTACATATGTCATTTACTGCCTGGCCTATATCTGCAATTATCACTTTAGAGACGGGAAGTAGCACCCACAGAATATCTGCTGAGCATGCATAGGTCAAAGGTCAAGCCCAGCCTCATTCCTTCAGCCCTACATCAGGGCCTGCCTCACTCTATTATGTAAACCCTGGCACCCTAAAATTAGAAGTATTGGATTTCATTCAGCAAATATGATGCAGGGCAGTGAATTATATAGTCCATATGTCACTATAGTCCTTTAGGGATACTAAACAGAAAACTGATCATTAAGAAACCACCATGATATTGACATTGTAACCATGTTCATATTAACATATAACCAGTCTGATTAACATATTTATGACTAATCAGTAATTAGCAACATGGAACACCCAAATTAAGCTCAAGAGGTTAACCAATCATAACAAAGGTTATTTGAATATTATCTTAACAGAGCAGTAGAACAAACAGGCAGTTTATTTCTAAAGGACAATGAGGAAGGAAAATGGTTACATAAGTCTAAAATTTGTACAGGAATCCTTGACTAACATTATAAGTGGACAGCAGGGTATAAAAAGAAAATGCTACATAAATACAGCTCCCTTAATACTATTTATAAAATAAATGGTTTCAATAACAACTGCCTAATGTTATTACAGAGCTGTATGCTCCTCTTTTAATAGACCCACCATTAAAATCTTGTCCTCAGCATTGCTTACTAATCAAAATCTTCTTGATAACTGAACATGTTGTGTGTTTGTATTTGTGTCTGTGAAAGGAGAAAGATGAACAGTGGAAAAGCCATGTGGCCGAGCTGGCGGTCCAACGCAAGGCCATCCGTGCAAAACTAGACAGACTACAAGAATTTAGGGTGAGGTTTGACTAGACACACATGCTGATACACCAACACACATATATAGAAGCCCTACTATTGTTCCCAGGTACAGCTGTGAGGCCCAAAAGCAGTATGACTGAATGTGGCCAGATGTTGAATGTATCTAATGCGAAGTACTATGCTAACCAATACCATACCTGCCTGACTCACAGCAATGGACAAGGGCAGATTACATCTACAGACACCAAAAAATGCACATGAAAGTTTCATATCATATTATTCAAATTCCAAGTTTTAAAAAGAAACATTATTGCAGCACATTGACTAAAAGAGAAAATGGTTCATGGAAGCTGACATACCGCAAGACAAACCATCAAGTTTAGGAAGTTCACTTACAGTATATCTTCATTAATCATCACAGACATTAATGCATCTCTGTTTAATTTCCAGGATTTTCAGAAAAAAGTTGTGCTTCAGGATTTGGGTCTGGATCCAGGTTCTGACAATGAATCCGTCAAGCACTTTCTGATGAGGCTGTAACTGTGTTTACTAGTAAATAATAAAAGTACTAAACTCCAACTGAAACATTTAAAGGCCATCCAAGATGTAGATGAGTTTGTTTCTTCATCAGAACAGATTTTGAGGAATTTAGCAGTGCATTACTTGCTCAATGGATCCTCTGCAGTGAATGCAAGTGATGTAAGGCTAATTTTCTCCAAATTTGTACAGATGAAGAAATACATCTACATCTCATCTACATCTTGGATGGCCTTTCCAGGAAATTTTCATTTTTGGGTGAACTATCCCTTTAACATGCTATCAAAGCCATAAATGATATATATTGTGATGCAGTGATCATATATCTTTAGAACATGTGTTAAAGGTGGGGTAAGAGGTTTTTAAAAAATGCTTTAGAAAACTGACTCGGGCCGACTAGCAAAACAAACTTATAGCCAATCAGCAGTAAGGGGCGTGTCTACTCATGATGTGGAGGAGAGAGCGTTCAGTGCACAGGACGGACATTAGCGAGCTGAACGACAGAAAGATAGAGATGGCGGATTAAAAAACAAAAGAAGAAAACATCTGCGGAACAAAAGAAGGCTTAAGGCAAGAAGTAGGACCCGTGTAAATATCGGATCAGCTTTCCAGCACTGGAGAGAACTCAAGGAGCGGAAGGCCTGCGATCGGACGCCAAGGTTGCTTTGTTTTTTCTTGATAGGTGAGTGCCGTGTCTGCGCCGCAACAGCTAAAGTCTGTTTAGTACACTGGACACGACAAAGCGACCGTTGAAAATCATTTGAAATTTGTGTCAATACATCATAAATAGAACGCAGCAGCAGTTTTCTGTTGGGGATTTGTTGTGCCGTGCCGCGGCGCATTCCAGTGTAGACCATAGATATGTATATATATATATATCTATGGTGTAGACAGCATCACTGATTATAATGAGTTCCATAGTATTTTGTCACGCAGCGCCACTTGCATCCGGTGTAGACATGGTGTAACATTGGTTTTGCTTTGTTTCACAGAACTAATTGTTGCCTGGGTTGCGTACGTATGTGTGGGGCGGAGCTATCAAAATAGGGGCGAGACCCTTTTGTGGTAGGGGCGTGTTTGTTTTGGTGATTTCAGATGTCAACATTGGCTACCAGAAATCACTTACCCCACCTTTAATATTTAAACCTGAAGCAAAAAGTATGTTTAAAATAACATGAGTGAAATCGTATCTCTATCTCTTCTTTAAAGGCACTAACTGGAGTGAGTTAGAATAGAGTGAGTTATGGCTGATTCAGTGTTCAAAATGGTTAAATAACAAACTCGCTGATTCTCTATGGCAAATAAATCACAGCTAACAATGTAATGTGTGTCACATGTCCGATGTTTCACTGTAATATTGCAGCAGATGAGTATAAATAGACAATAAATCGCATGACACTGCGGCAAGGAGAGAGACCTGAGGTAAAGAGCAAGACAAACAGACGAGCTCAGATTCAAAAGAGAACAAGAACCAATTAATTCTCATGCCTCTCAATGTCTTTTATGCATCTTTGTTGATCTCCAGCACAAAAGGAGAATGCAAAAGAAACAGGTGGTTCCAGTGGTACAAGTCTAGCATTAAGGCCGACCAGCAGAATCGTGTTACAGCATGTCTGACCCTTGAGGGCAGGAAAATGCCACATTCAGTCTCCAGTGTCACACATCCTCGCATCCCAGAATTCCCTTCTGCACGCCGCAGCTCTACATCACCTCAATGTACTCTGCTGTGTTTATTTCATTACAGGCACACTGAGTATGTGTAACTGGGCTGGACAGCTTTGATTCATCATGCACTGCAAAACATGCTGGAGTCTTTTCCAAAACAAGCGCTCCAGTAAATAGTTCTAGGCAATTCATCCCACCATACTGCAGCATTCCAACTGAAATGAAACATTCATTCAAAAGTAATTTTCCCTTTTGCATTCCCTGCCAGCTTTACCACCCATCCACCTCTCTAAACTCCAATTAATTTAGCACATTAAATGTTTCTAAGCAATTTGGCTCATTCAGCACACATTTTGAGCCTTTCTGGTCTGTGACCCTTCATGATCATACCTATAAAAGCTATACAAAGCATAGAACTAGGGCTATGTTCAGAACAGCATAATATCATACTGCTATATATATCTGCAGTATATACAGTATGTACTGTGCACATTATGCTAATATTCAGTATGCATGGAATACCTGTAGTCCTACTTAGTTTGCAAAATATTTTGCCACAGAACATTGACCTTCCTGGTAATGAAAGTGCATTGATGCACTGCAGTGTGGGAATAAGTAACATTATTTGATCTCCCAATAGATTTTACACAAATGAATTAAAAATAAAAATGCATGCACTTAAAATCTTGTAATTCAATGTAAGAAAAAAGAATGAAAATAAAAAAAGAAGAATATATATACATCTTTATTAATTTATTGCACAGACTGGTAAGTCCTTTACATGCATTCACATCATTCACTAGATGCACAAGCTGATAGGCCTCTGCTGCTGATTCTGCAGCCAATGAGATTGATTGTTCTCAAATTTGAATTGTCTGGTTCAGTGTTTGCTGAAAGCTGGTCCTGCTGCAGCCACTATCAGGGATCTTCTGAAATTCAGCACCTCAAGATAAGTGAACTTACCTTTTATATGCTTAAGTACAAAACATGCTGTGTGGTCTGCATTTGTCAGTTCCTAAATGCAGCAACCAAACACAAGGTCTAAATCATGTTTGATGTTTAACGAGTTGTGTATGTGATGCAAGGAGTGAATAATAAGGAATATAAGCAAAGCTAGCACATGAATATGCATTTTAAAACAATAACAACAGCAGCAGCAAGCAGTAACACAACCAAGCATTACTTGCATGAGAACGAATTTTAAGTGAAAATAGGTATTATCAATTAGCTAGCAGGAGAAAGCAACAAGATTTATGCAGCACAAATCTGTATGTATTCGCATACACTGTAAAAAATTATGTGATAAGTAAGTCATGGTAACCTTTGTTTTTACATGACTTTTAACTCATAAAAATAAGTAGAGCAATTTCAACTTTTCTAGAAGTTACTGTATGAGATTCAACTTGATTTTTTTAAGTCTGTTTAATTTGAAATGACTTAAACAGCCAAGTTGATTATATTAAAAAATTCAAGGAACTTCAAGTTAAGTTGAAATGGGTGGATTATTTATTTATTTATTTTACAGTATAGTGGCATTTTATTTTTATTTTGCATGCAAAGTTACCCTCTCCAGTAAGTGAATTATGCTGATATTATGTACAGTTGTGGTCAAAAGTTTACATACACCTTACAGAATCTGCTAAATGTTTCAAACGTCACTGATCCTCCAGAAAGAAAAATTATGCACTAAGAACCAGGAGGTGAAAACTTTGAATTTGAATATCAGGGTAAAATAAACTTATTTTGTCTTCTGGGAAACAGGTAATCTTCTGTAGCTTCTGAAGGGCAGTACTAAATGAAAAAATATGATATTTAGGCAAAATAAGAAGAATGTTCACATATTCATTCTGTTCAAACGTTTACACCCCTGGCTCTTAATGCCTTGTGTTTCCTTCTGTGAGCGTTTTAACTTTTTGTAATAGTTGCGTATGAGTCCCTCAGTTGTCCTCAGTGTGAAAAGATGGATCTCAAAATCATACGGTCATTGCTGGAAAGGGTTAAAATACGCAAAAGATGCTGGAATACCAAAGAATTTGTGAGACCTGAAGGATGTTCAGGACCAACAAGGGACTCATGGACAACACAACAAAATATATAAATAAATAAATAAATCAAGGTAACAACACAGTATTAAGAATCAAGCATATGTAAACTTTTGAATGGGGTAATTTTTTATAAATTCAACTATTATTTTCTATTGTGGACTATATGTAAACAACTTTTATGTGAAATATCTTATTCAGGTTTGTACTAAACACAGATTCTGTGAGGTGTATGTAAACTTTTGACCACAACTGTCTGTATGTGTGTGCATACAGTGTGTATATATATATATAATTGCAAGATATTAACTGGATCACGATATGGAATATGATCACGTCATGTGACAGCAACGTTCCACTGTTTGAAATGATTATAGTTGTATACTGTCCTGTTTTTGAAAAACTGTACTTACGGTATTTCATAAGCTAGTAGTAGCAAGCTAGTATTCCATTCTGAACACAGCCTAAGACTGAGAAAAGAAGAAAGACAGTAAATGAATGGCTATCAGTCACACATCGGGTCATCTAAAGGTTTAGTCGAGTTGAATATGGAAATGTGCCATTGGCAGAGCTTCCGTGGAAAGGCACAATGGTGCGATCTTCAAGTGTAGCTAACACCTGAAACCATGTGAAAGCCTGCTGTGTAACGACTCCAGATAAAAGTCAGTGCTTTAGGCCATTTAAGAGAAGTGAACCTGAATGAAACCCCCAGTGCCTCTTTTCTGCTTTTAGACACTGTGTTATGTTAAACTACTGTATAAACTATCTAAATATAAAGCCTTGAAATGTAAAAATATGCACCCTGCACAAAAATTGCATGTTGTAAATTGTACAAGAAAACAATATAACAACAATGGAAATGTGCATACAAATAATAATTAATAATGCATTTTGGAAGCGTGAAATTTGTGTACTCTGATAGTTTAGTGAACCTTATCAAAATCCTTCTTGCATTAACAATGCATTGACTCCAGCATTTTAAATGGTGCGTCATCTCACCCTAGGAAGGAACTCCCTGTGGGAGAGCGATTCAGGTTTGTGTCAGGGATCTCATTCCAGGTCCTTTGCTCATCTGCATGTGCAGATGTTTAATTCACAAACCAGAATCTCTGACATCAACTCCCAGCACAGCGTGTCTTCAACTAGAATGAGAATAAATTGCAGTCCATCACAACAGCAATATCACTGATGTAACTAATACTAGCTTATACCTAACCAAGATGAAGAACACTTGCTTACCAATATGTAAGACAGTACAAATCCAGGTAAATCTGTTCCTGCAATTGTATTGTTGTGTGTGATGAAGAAAGGCTTTGGAGAAGATTACGTAAAAATTAGACATTTCCGGCCTGCATCTTGCAGCAGGTTGGATTGTGATTGTGCAAGAGGACTATGGTGTTTTCTGAGGACACTTGAAAACCCTTATTAAACCTTACACAAGAATCTAATATTTTCACCAGTTTAATTCATTTATGAAGCCAAGAGTATTACATCAACTTTGAATGTTATTCATAATCTGATATTTGTACAAAGAGTACAGTGCCAATGGATGTTGGTTAAAAGCCTTATTTGTTTATTTATTTATTTATTTTTGGCCAGTTTACCTTTGGTTAGTATGTCTCTGTCTGTTGTTTGTTCAGTTTTGAGCATACAGCATATGTTATGGTAACACTATACAAAAACATTAGTTAATGCATCATCTAATATTTACTAACAATGAGCAATTTGATACTGTATTTATTTATCTTTTTTTATTAATTATTCATTCAATTATTCCATTATTAATGTTAGCAGGACTATTAAATAATATAACTTTATAATATTTATAACTTTTGATTTTAATGTATTAGTCAATATTGAAATAAACATGAACTATTTTTAATTATTGTTTCTATTTTTAATTGTTGTTTCATGTTAACTAATGTAGTGAACTAGTGGAAACTTTTGTACACTATTATCATTGTAAACTATCATCATAAGTAAAGTAAAGTAAATTAAAGCCTGATTTTGCAACAAATATAGATTTTTTTATATTGATAGTTATATCAGACAAAATGTTTGTCATTGTTACATAAAAATTTTAGGTAGTATAATACATTTAATAATAATAATAATAATAATAATAATAAATATATTTGCAAAGTGTTCAGTCCTTAGTATTTTTTTCCCTCGTTATAAAAGGCAGAGTATAGATTATATACTGTAAGTATTATTAAAAATATTTTTAAACAATAAAAAAGTACTTTTGAACATATGCTTATATACGTATGTTTAAGTGATCAGTCGTATCAGTAACCTATTAAAAGCTGATAATTGGAAACTTGTGGAATAAAGTAATAATTTCTAACAGCAAATAAAGAATTAAAAAAATTGCATTGATTATTTTTTTTTTGCCTAATGTTGCATCCACAAGTGTCGGTTGTCAAATCTCATATATCAACCAGTGCAATATAAAATGCCTCTTCATATCAACAGTACAGCGACTTATATCACCTCTGAAGAGGCCAAAGAGGGTGACAAAACACGCCTCAACTTTACATATACCCGTCAAAGTGGGTGGACATTCCAGTTGAGCAGTTAAGTTGCATGGCGGCAGTCCTTTAGACTTGAGCTGCTTAACTTTTGCCCACATCTTATGCTTTTTAATCTGTGGGAAATACAATTATTTATGTGTATTTTTACCCTTGTTCAGCCTGGTTGTGTAATGAAACTATAAAGCACATAGAACAGACTTCATGGTATCTGCCAAGATTTTAATCCTCTCGAATTGTGTAGTCCAGAACCCAGGGATAAATCAAATGTGGTTCTGGGGCGAAAGCACACAAAGATCAAAATCCTGCCCTAGTAAAACAGAAAAAGCAAACAGAGGAGCAGCGTCTACTGGGTAAAGCTAGCTTTGTTAAGCTTGTGTGGCAATCATCAGGGTATTACAGTCTAACAAACAACCTGCGCAGTTGCTAGAAGTCGAAAACTCAAGTGAATTGACCCCGTGGGACTCGTAGTACAATGCCTCGAGGGCAAGAAAGAAAATCCACTTGCGCATAATTGGTAATAAATATTTATTCTTCTTGCATGAGTATTAAGTCCTATGAGGCATAGTGAATGATGACTTGATGGCCAGATGTTGGCACACAACATCCATCCATGATTCCTCGCTGGATGACAGTAACCCCCACTCAACCTTCCCACACCGGTGACGGCAAATTCATGTGAGGATTATATTTGACATGGCACAAAAAGACCAGCTGCTCCACAATCATAAATACAGCGAATGCTGTGCGATCTGAATCTACAGCCCTGCATTTTATCACAAGGAGGCATAGCATAAATATATGGATTGACAAATGTGAGTTTAATTACATATTGCCTTAATGTGTAATATTACGGACTGGATCATTAAAAAGACAAAATGCCACATGTTTCACAGAATACGTCGCAGTACCACATTGAAATTGTGTTCCTTGCACCTTAATTTACTAACACACAGGGACGCGGGAAGTAGGGGTGCTGAGGGGGCTGCAGCACCCCCTGTTTTCACATGGTTGCAAATGCCACAATAAATTTAAATTTATTCAGTTTTAGCATTTAATAATTAATTTGTAATGATCTCTGAAATGTAAATTGTAAGTGGGCTATAATAAACCCATGTTTATCTTTATAAACATGATGCATTTTACTTGTGATGTTTTCTATATGGGATGATTAGCCTAATCCTCATGAACACGTGACGCTAGCGCGTGGTATCAGACATGAACTGTACAGAATGCGAACAAGATTAACTTTAATACAAGGAGATAATGGCGCAAAAGCGAATTTAAGATTTTTTAAAATGCCCATCCCAGCAAAAACTTTCCAAAATCTGCATCCCCAGCACGAGCACCGACGTAAGTGAACCAGCCCCAACACCCTCCCACCCAACACGGACACACACAGCACCCCCAACCGAAAACATCTTCCCGCTCCCCTGCTAACATCATAGTCTTTGTTAACCCATATTGATGAGAACGAATACAGCCTACAGTGACGCTGTTACCTGAGAAAATGAAAGATCGCTTGCCATTTAATGCTACATCTTGTGGACAATGTGCAAAGCAGTTTGCATTTGGACAGCATGTACAGATTGTGCAACATCACCAAATGTGTGCTGCTCTTTACGAGTTTGTGCCGACAAACATCCTCGCTCGAGAGCAGATCATGGAGAAAAAATGTGCATTTGAGAGGATCCCGCTCGTTCTTCCTGTGAACGCCAGTGCATGTGGAATGATTGCATCTGCAAGCGGTCCTACTGAAGCTCAAGTTTGTGTGCAGACGTGCCTCAAAATGGTATAGGAACATCTGAGGGTTTAAAAACCAGATGTGGAGCCTGCAAGACAGACATTCAGACTACAGTTCAGTGACCAAAAGGAGTGACCCCTCATTCTCCGGTACAAAAAAACAGGAACATAGGATCGAGGTCACCTGATTCCCAAAACTCAGAGCCTCAAACTTCAGCAAATCCTCAAAAATCCAGCACTCAGGCACTGTGAAATGCACTCCAGACTCATCTTCTCTCGCCCGACTTCCCTCACACGGCTGTGTGTTGGGTTATGTTGCTTTGGGGAGACATGGACATCTGGCGGGTGAACTGGCTGAAGCTTGCCGCTCGGGGTCGGGTGCGAGGAGTTGTGGAGGCCGGGGACGTAGCGGGAGGGACCGGCTCGGGTTGGGTTTGCTGAAGAGGCAGCGAGGTCTGATCCGACACCTGCTGCTCCTTCTGCTGTTCTTGTATCAGATCTCTAGAGAACAAGCTCTGGATCAACTGCAACTTCTCCTTTTCTTCATTCAGGAAGACATCCACCAGAAGAGTCTTCTCCTTCTTCAGCTGCTCGCTGATGTTTTTGGGCACGTCCGGGATCACCCAGGCCACCAGCATGCTCATGGTTATTACCAGGTTCTGGAGGAGTGGGAGATGTATAACTACACATATATTCACATTTGCTTGAATGGGTGGGGCGCAGGAGATAATATACATCAGTGGTTGTGATGAAAACATATATCTTTCCATTCAATAGATGGAGGATCTTTTACACACCAGGTAGCATTTCAGTTATTGGTGCTCTGCCAGTGACATCTATACATACAATTTCTGATCATGAGACTCAAATAGAAGAATATATTGTATGCAATCCACAGTTCAAAAGTTTAGGGTCAGCAAGATTTTTTCATCTCTTATGCTCACTAGGTCTGCAATTATTTGACCAAAAATAGATACATTTTCAAATATTATTACAATTTAAATTAACTGTTTTATATTTGAATATATTTTAAAATGTAATTTATTTCTGTGATGCAAAGCAGAATTTTCAGCAGAAATCATGTTAATATGCTGATTTGCTGCTCAAGAAACATTTCTTATTATTTATCAATGTTGAAAACTGTTGTGCTGCTTAATATTTTTGTGGAAACCGTGGTGTATTTTTTCCGGATTTTTGTTAGAAATATAAGTGATCAATTTAATGCATCCTTGCTAAATAAAAGTATTAATTTTGCTAACCCCCAAACTTTTGAACAGTATGTCTTTTGAAGCCACATGTAAGCTTTGTGTGAGGAAAATACTAAATTTAAGAATAGTATATTCATTGAAAACCACATTTTTCTTGTTCTTTTTAAGAGCTTCACTGCCATGATCACGATGAACTGTCATTCTGGAACGACATTTAATTTTTCGAGTGAACTATTACTTTAACTCTTTGGTTTGCTGTTTAATTACATTTCAATATAATTAGTTTCCACCCACAGCTGCTGACAGCAGGACTTTTCTACTGAGTTACAGCAATTATTCTGACCAGCATAAAGACTATTAATCCAAAAGTGCGAAGACTGCATTATTTATATGTGGTTGAAGCTCCCACGTTGCTGAGGTAGCTATTGTGTGGCTTTTTCATTTGTTTGGCTTAGACTGAAGAAGGATGAACATTTATGTTCCTCCATTCATAGTCCCTTTCTGGTGTTCATTAGGAGTAAAACTATTTTATTTTAGGCTTTTAGATTGGGGGTAATGGTAAAATAAGTAGCTTGTACCTGAAACAATATGACGAAACCTAACCGAGCCGCAAGAACCGACCAATACTGTTTGGAGAACTGGTAAGGCTCAGTTGACCATGGTGGTTCTCTGTAGTCCTTGTACCTAAAATGAACAAAAGAACAGACATCCCAAGTTATTTAAGGCCATTTCATCTCAGTGAGGATCCATTTGCTGATTGGCAATAAAAATAAACAGAAAATTTAAAACACATGCTTCTAGCAAGGCTACAAAGGGCAAAACAACACAACAGCATTATTAATCATGATGAGGACATTTAAAGTGCAAAAGAAGGAATTGCATCTTTGTTGTTTAACTTAACAACTACTTTGTAGATTTATTTCCTGTTGGGATGCAGTGAAGTCATTCTGTAATTAAGGGTACATTTCAAACCTGGAAAAACAATATGCTTTCTCAATAAAACAACTATTGGTTTCAGTTGATTTATTTTATCAGTGTAATGTATCTCCTAGTTGCAAGGCTTAATCATTAAACACCATTCTGTTATTACAAAGAAAAATATGTTTTCCCTGATGGTGAGTTTGTCAGCTATGTTACGGACATACTGTGTGTGTTGGCAGGTAACATAGTTGAGAATTTCACCATTTTAACTCGTAATTTCAATGGCAGGCTTGATCAGGTTAAATTCTAATTTGAATATTTATTTGAATTAAAAATACTGCAAACCATAACAATGTACCCAATGAACAATTAATATACTCCATGTCATGACAATATTGGAGATCAAATATAGAAAGAAAACAAAATACCATAATGTGTTCAAAATGTCACAGAAGAAAATAATTTCACATGATGCTGGTCACATGGTTTTGTGAGATTTTTTTTCTTCTTTCATTTTCAGAGGGGTTGTTTGGTATGGAAGCGCATTTCCGCCAGATTATAGAAATAAATTTAATGTAGATAATCTTGACTTTAACATTTTTTATTCATTATTTTGAACTTGTCAATTCAAAAAGCGGTCATTGCAACAACTGTAATTTAAGGGGCATAAAGGCAATTTCAAGAAAACTGAAGAACACAAAATATATATATTATGGATTAAATATACAATATTTCTGAAGAAAATTGTTAGAAAAAAACAGAATTATCATCAATGGACATGAAATATAACTAAAATATAGAACGGTCATTCAGTTGTAGTAGGAGGAGGCAATCTTGGTCATGATGATTGAAAACTGAGCATATTTTGATTATATCTTGCAGGCTTAATTCATTAGACCAGGCTATTCCCAGAAGTTTTGATTTCCTCTATTGAATAACGAAAAGTAAACTCTGAGTCTTTAATAACCCACTAAGGACATTGATTTCATGGCCATATACAGTAATCTACGTGGAATGTGTTAGGCTGGTTTTGATTTCTTCAGACAGTCAGATATCTTCATCTGAAGACATGGTCTCTGGGGTGAAGTCCTTGTTTGGTTCTACAAGTCCAGAAAGGGCAAATATGGTGCAGTAAAAACATGGGCTTGATTTGTTCCATGACCCTATTTTAGAACACTGACAAGCTTGCCCTCTTGCTCTCTCTCCATATATCTGTCTTCTTAACAAACACTCTGAGGGTCAAAGGAACCCAGACATCAGAATGCCACTTCTCTTTGGTCCAAGTAGCTACAAACGAGCGTAATCTCATTCTCAACTGCTTGGAGCAGAAAAAGCAGACAGGTTCTGATAAAAGCACTTTTCTTGACATGCTTCTGATCTGTGTTGTGAAGGCCACCCGTGATAATCAAAGCAGTGGTAAGATCTCACACTTCAGGGTGATGGAGTCTATGGAGAAATAATTATTTCCAGAGAACTGATGAACACAATTACTATCACTATCAACACAAGCAAACAGCACTGCTTCATTAGAAAACAATTTTTCACAATAAGGCGGTTTACAAAACTACTTAGGCCCACACAGGACCTGTGCATGTTCTTCCACATTTTCTGTTCTGATTTTGAAGGAAAATCCACAGAATTCTGTGGAACGGTTTAGGATTTTGTAAAACACATTATGAGTTATAGCTATATCTAAAACAGGGTGGGAGTTGTTGCGAATGACAGTCAGATTCTGCAGAAGTCTATTCACTACCAAGCCCATAAGGAATCTGTGAGAGTGCAGTAGATTTCCAAAGAATCGAATATGCGTGTCTGTTTGTTAAATATTTTGGCTAATTTGAGCTTTCAACTAAAGAACTGGCGAGCTACCCTTTCTATGTGGTCCAGTTCTTTGTAATTTACCGTTGAACTAAATATGCTGAACTGGATAGGCTGGTTGAATGTTTATGACTGTAAAAATGTAAAAGAACCATTTGTTTTGCCCTCCTATCAGAGTTTTCCACATGCAGGTGTGGAAAAATCTGATGAAGAATACATGCAATCTCACCAGACGCCGTCCAAGAGGATCAGTATGTTCAGACCATAATAGCTTCGACACATGTTTATTTCAGACATGATTTAAAAGGAGCAAACGACGGGTCCTATGGTTGTTTACGGCCTGTGTGCTGTCCTGCCAAGAACACTTTTGATGTGAACAATCAGTTTGCTTACAACTATTCAGTTTTGAACTAAATTTCCAAGTTGCATGTTTTATCAAAGCAATAGGCAGCTGTGCATCACAGTCATTTTACCACAGGAAAGGGATGTTCAATAAATTGTTTGATTTATTATTGCTAGTAATATAATAATTTTTTCCAACCTGCAGAATGTAACGTCTTTGCCGAGACTGGAGATGGAAGGCACAGTTCCAGGTTTAAAGTTGCTGACATTAAAGTAAGAGAGCGTGTGGTTGATGAAGCCATGCATGGTCCCTGTCTCGCTGTACATGTACTGGTAGACCAAGCGAGGGATGAAATCTGACGTGAAGGAGATGACAAAGGCCTGAAATGATCAAATAACAGGTAAAAGATCAAAATATGTAATACAAAATGTAAAAGCAAGATGTAGAACTTTTGCTAAAACTATTTAAATACATTTTTGTTAAAATGTAAAAAATAATAATAATAATTTATATTATTTTAGCTAGTTGCTAAAGCAACAGTTCTCATTTTAATTTAGTTTAGCTTGATGTACAAAAATAACTCAAACTAAAATAAAATATACAGGCATATTTACAAAAAACATTTTAAATTGACAAAAGCACACAAGAAAATTACTAAAACTTTAACTAAAATTCAAACAAAAATTTAAAATATAAAAAAAGAATTACAACTATTAATTAAAACTATAATGATACTAAGCTATAATAAACACTCATCCAGACCACTAAGGAACACATATAACTCAAGGTAATCTTCATGCAGAGTGGTGCCATTGATAATATGTGGCATTTAATTGGATTGGAGAGGTCATTTATAGCTGTAACATTAAGCGAATACTTGATTTCCAAAAGAACAACACAGCTGGAGTCAATCAGATGTCGGGCTTCTGAGTAAATGTGGCTTTCTTAATGAAAGTTCAGAGAGAAGCTGAAGGATCTTTACCATAAGGCTTACTGGAATGCTCTTCTCATATTGGGAACATCACATCTATTAAAATACATCTGCTAGAGGTTTATCATTCAATTTTAAGTAGGAGAGACATGCATGAAGCAAACCGTACAGGTGAAAGAACATCTGTACAGTGCTAGAACAGGCATACATTTATTTCTTCCATGAATAATGTGAACCCAAGCTTCTTAGAATCTTGTAAGTCTTATGAAAACAATAAGAGGATCTCTTTAACAGTGATGCACCCTGGGGTCTTTATGGATACCTCTACACATGATTAACTTTCCATAAAGAGGACTTATATGACTAGCATGTGGTAAGCAGCAGAGATATATTACAGAAACTTACATTGATGATGACCGAGAACTTTCCCAAACCACTCAAGATGTTGTACCAAATACCTGTGTGAGGAAACATTTCAATTCAGAGGTTAAATTAGTAGACCCGAGTCTGATTAAGAATCCAAGTGAATAGTTGTAGTATAAAAATTAATACAAGGTTTTCACCGATATCTTTGGCCCTAATGGCATCTGGCCTGCGAAGCTCCGTGACAAACTTCTTGGCGTCGAGGCGGATCTCGATGACATTGTTTAAGAGAGCGAAAAGCGGAGCCAGTGGGAATGAGGCCACAAAGAGTGACACGAAACCAAACTGAATGACTGCAGAATGGAAAACAAGCAAACATGTAGGTTACATGCTGAGACATTTGGATTACAAATTGGAGTTTGATTGATAGAGCTATAAGACTGCTGTCTATTACCAGACATTAAGGATTAAATATTGATTTTATACAGCCATTCAACAGTTTGGGGTTGGTAATATTTCTTAATGTTTTTGAAGTCTTTTATGCTCACCAATGCTTTCAAAAATACAGTAAAAATTGTGAAATATCATTACAATTTAAAATAACTGTTTTCTATTTTAATATATTTTAAAATGTAATTTATTCCTGTGATGCCAAGCTGAATTTTCAGCATCATTACTCCAGTCTTCAGTGTTGCATGATCCTTCAGAAATCATTCTAATATGCTGATTTGCTACTCAAGAAACATTTCTGACTATTATCATTGTTGAAAAGTTATTTTTACTTTTTTTGTCACGATTCTTGAATAGAAATTAATAGAAAGTTCAAAAGAACAGCATTTATTTGAAACAGACTTTATTTTTAACAATATAAAAGTCTTTACTGTCACTTTTTCTCAATTAAATGCATTTTTGCTAAATAAAAGTTACTTACGGACCCCAAACTTTTGAACTGTAGTGTTGCTGAAAATTAATAGATATAAATTCATTAATAAAAATAGACTTATACAGTGTATGTGTTCACATATAGATCAAATAACATCTTAAGAAAGTTCCACAAATCATAGTAACAATGGAAATACCACTACTTATTTGATGTGGTGATTTTCTAGGAACAGACTGTGTCTTTCTACAGTAACTTGACATTACCAGCACGGGTGTCAAGCACAAAGCTGATTATTTGTCAATCAACAAAACATGGAACATAAGCCTTGTAGGAAACTGCATTTCCTTCTTTGGCTTGATTGACACATGGCCTTTTTTCCTGTGCAACATGCAAACAATGGCTTCTAGAGTGATCGGGCTGTTTCCTACATAAACATCCATACGAGTGGGTCTCATACTCCTGCTCTCACTGAGAATATCTTTCACAGTGTGTAGGTGGTGATCTCCCTCCAGTGTTATTACTTAAGGACTTGAGTTCATCTTCAGTTTCTCCCCAATCGTTTCTTTGATTCGAAGAGTCTCATAAGAGTTTCTTGTATGAAGAACATGAAAAACTAGAAAATCTGTTTTACTTGGAAGTGGATTAAAGCATCCATACATTTTCAAGAAAAGACTAAGGCGCAGGTTTTCTCACGCACAGGTCTCTGATAGACAGTTGTGCAACTCGCCTGCACTTCAGGGACTAAACCAGCCCACATCAAACCACTCAATCAACAATTACGATCGGGAACCATAATAAACTCCACAGATCATATAATTACAGAATAAAGCTCTTGTTGTGTACCTGCATTAAATTTTATATAGCAAAATATATATTTTTTTAAATCTACAGTATTTACAACAGAGCTGTTTCAAACAAAGCTGTTTCGAGTCAAGTTGAAAGAAACTTTTTGTTGCAAACGTGTCAGGAAACATCAGTCGGCGTCTTAGCTCTCAGCATAATTGGGTTGTATAAATATAGGATGAATAATAGTAACTCAAGTTTGCATTGGTGTTCAGATGTTTAACTTTGCTGTTTACCCACTAGGCTTTCAGATCTTTTACAGACGCCTTCATGCCAACTTACATAAACACTCAGTCAGTTGTGTATCACCTTAAGCCACATGCTAGCGAATGTAGGCCCTTTCCCGATTGTAAACACAGCTGTGAAACAAATGCTTGGGCTACTGGCCCAATTCACATGTTCATTCATAATTCTCATAAATCCAGAGACCTGTGCATTCCTCCAACAACAAATCCTGCGGTTCTCGCCGAAGGGGATGAATTAGATTAACTAGATGTTTTCTCACAGCACTTCACCCTGAGGACGCTTTACTTTTGCACCGAGTGGAGTGTCACTCACTCATCTCCATGTATTCAGGTGTGAGTCCGTCAAAAGGCTCCAGGTCGTAGTCCAGGTGCCACTGCTGACGGCGACCCGGCTGCTCCACAATCTCCTTGGGCGCCCGCTCTTTGTCCTTGAGTGTGCGGCACAGCTTCTTCAGCTTTCTAAAGCGGGAAGTGAGAGGGAGAAAGAGAGCAGAGACAGAATGTAAATACACAAACCGTTGCTATAAACTTGACCTTGCAGCTAAAATGACCCAGATTTGATAGTGAGTCAAGTGTCAGGTTTGCTTCTAAGAACGGCATATGAATTTTATGCAGACATATTGTGTGCTTTGTTTATATTTACATAAATATTACTATTGCTTATACTGTACATAGAGTTGGCGATTTTTCAAATGCAGAACAACTGCACTTTTCTGTATTCATTTTAATTGTATAAATTATATATTAATTTATATTCATATAATATTATAGATAATAATATAAATATATAATTATATTTATATATTCATTTTAATTATATATTTAGAATTTATATTATATATATATATATATATATATATATATATATATATATATATAAAATATATATATATT